TGGAACCCCATATAATGCTGTATTTTCTCCTGTGCATGCATACTTAGGCTGAAGTTTGATTTATAAATGAGACACACTGCAAGATTCACAATATCTGGTAAGATGGTAGAACCATGACAACAGTGTGTCACTCGTTCCATGGGTGGAAGGTTTGTTCTTGCTGTAGATCTTAGCAATCTCAACATAGGGGTTTTTTCCTTAAGTTGAGAACGTTCGCCTTTTTCACTTAAAGGAAGCCTCTCTTTGGCATATTCAGATTGCGTGTTCAGATCAGGCTTCTGGCGCTTTGGGCCATATGAAGTAAAGTGAGGGCTGTTTGAACACAGGCATTGTGGGTACCACAGTCAGTCCGATAAACCCAGATGACTGAGTGTTTTTGGGTGCGTCCACAGCATGGGTCCACTGGACAGAGGGATGGTGAATGTCCTGGGCTGGGGCTGGAGGGAGCAGGATGGCACGAGATTTTATCACACCACTCTGAACGGTGAGCAATTTGCAATTTATGACTTATTTTTGGAAATGTTTATTGTTTTTGGACTGTGGTTGGCTCTGGGTAAGACCATGGATAGCTTCGAAGCCTCAGGTAAGGGAGGACCATACTTTGGGAGCTGCAGCGCATCCTGAGGTACAGTGTCTCCCATAGCTTGGGTGACCCTGACAGCTCCATCTCACAGGCTCACTTCTGTTCACAGTTCCTGCTGGATCCTTCAGGCTGCCTTTCTCGCTGGGCCCCACCCCACAGTTCCTGGTTCAGGTGTGGGCCTGAGATAAGCTTTCCAAGTGATGTTGATGCTGCTGCTTCAAGTCCGGGCTTTGAGAATCACTGCCTAATTCTAGAGTTTCTTCTGCATTTGTTACCTGGAATTCTTCTATTAAAAAGAGTATTGGCTTGTCAAGTATATAGTCGAAGATATAGTAATAGTATGTACAGGAAAGGCAGGGTGGTAAGTCCTTGATTCTTACAGTGACATGAACTCAAAAATTTTAAAAGTAGGTTTTAAATTCATTTTAGTCAATTCATTTTGAAGCCTCCATTCTCTTTTATGTCAGGGATTGCCCTATACTTTTTTTTTTTTCTTTTTGAGATGGAGTCTTGCTCTTGCTCTGTCACCAGGCCAGAGTACAGTGGCAGGATTTTGTCTCACTGCAACCTCTGACTTCCTGGTTCAAGCTATTCTCCTGCCTCAGCCTCCCAAGTAGCTGAGACTACAGGTATTTGCCACCAAGCCCAGTTGTTTTTTGTATTTTTAGTTTAGATGGGGTTTTACCATGTTTCCAGGATGGTCTTGATCTCCTGACCTCGTGATCCATTTGCCTCTGGCCTCCCAAAGTGCTGGGATTACAGGAGTGAGCCACTGCGCCTGTGTTTTTTTTTTTTTTTTTAATTAAAAAATTTTTTTTTGAGACAGCATTTCACCATGTTGCCAAGGCTGGTCTCAAACAGCTTGGCTCACAGTCTGTCCACTCACATAGTCAGTACACCTCGGCCTCCCAAAGTGCTGGGATTACAGGTGTGAGCCACCATGCCCAGTCCCATTTGATTTCTATGTCCTTTCACATGTACTTTGTCTTTTTGAGCTTTCTTTTTCCTTTTTTTAAGACAGAGTTTTGCTCCTATTGCCCAGGCTAGGGTGCAATGGTGTGATCTCACCTCACTGCAACCTCTACCTCCTGGGTTCAGGCAACTCTCCTGCCTCAGCCTCCCAAGTAGCTGGGACTACTGGCATGCACCACCATGCCCGGCTAGTTTTGTATTTTTAGTAGAGATGGGGTTTTTCCGTGTTGGTCAGGCTGGTCTCAAAACTCCTGACATCAGGTGATCTGCCTGCCTCAGCCTCCCAAAGTGCTGGGATTATAAGCGTGAGCCACCACGCCCAGCTAGTCATCTTTTTTTTTTTTTTTTG